TGTGTGTGTGTGTGTGTGTGTGTGTGAGAGAGAGAGAGAGAGAGAGTTGCCGTGCCCTCGTTTCTGCTGCGTGCTCGCGAGGCTCCACGTCCACGACTGCGATCTCATCGGCCCGTCCCCTTGCTCTTCTCCGGCCCTCGGCACCTCTTCTACCGGTTTTCCCTTCGGCACTGCCTGTCACCGGCCCTGCCCTTTTTTCCCTTGCACCACGCCCGTCTCGTAGTTGGCTCCACCGGTTCCCCCTTGGCCGCTGGCTGTTACCGGTCCCGCGGGGGGGCACCCGGTTTCTGCTGGGCCCCATGCGAGGACCGCGTTTTCCTTTAGTAGTATAGGGAAGGGAAGGGAAAATCAGGAGGAGTGTATGTATCTAGTTTATGTCTCTGCTGCAGGTGAGCCGGTGAAAATGTCACCGGAGATAGAGGGAGTAGTCGCTAAGTACCCTGATCTATTTGAAGAGCCGACAGGGGTTGTTGAGAGGGAGGTCGTCCACGCGATAGAGAATATCCCAGGGTCTAGCATCCCAAAGGGTAGGATCTATCGGATGTCTCCAGGCGAGCTTGATGAGCTTCGCCGACAACTCAAGGAACTCATAGAAAAGGGTTGGATCCGGCCGAGTGTTTCTCCTTATGGGTCTCCAGTCCTATTTGTACCCAAGAAGAAGGAAGGAACACTTAGGATGTGCATTGACTACAGGGGCCTCAATGCCATCACTGTCAAGAACAGAGAGCCCCTACCGCGCATCGATGATCTGTTAGATAGAGTGCAAGGGTGTCGGTACTTCAGTAAAATAAATTTGAAGTCCGGGTACCATCAGATTGCAATCCGGCCCGAGGATCAACACAAAACCGCTTTTCAGACCAGGTACGGTCTGTACGAGTTTGTGATGATGCCTTTTGGCCTTTGCAATGCTCCTGGCACCTTTCAACACGCTATGAATCGGATATTTCATGACTACTTGGATAAGTTTGTCATCGTGTACCTCGATGACATACTTATTTTTAGTAAAACTGTCGAGGAGCACGTTGTGCATTTGGACAAAGTCCTTAGTCTGCTGCGACAGCACACGTTCAAGATTAATGGTGAGAAGTGCGAGTTTGGCCGCACCCGTGTTTTGTACTTGGGTCATGAGATTTCCGCGGAGGGATTAAAGCCCGATGACGCGAAGGTGGCCAGCATTCGTGACTGGCTGCGTCCTCAGTCTGTTACTGAGATGAGGTCTTTCTTAGGGATGACCAGCTAGTATCGCAATTTTGTGAAGAGCTATAGCATAGTTGCCGCCCCTTTGACTGACATGACTCGCCTTGACACCCCATGGGAGTGGACAGACATATGCGAGGCTGCTTTCAGACATTCGAAGCATGCGTTGACACATCATGAGGTCTTGAAACTTCCTGATCCTGGCAAGCCATTTATAGTAACTACGGATGCTAGCCAATATGGCATAGGCGCCGTACTTGCACAGCAGGAGGGGAAAAAGTTGAGGCCAGTTGAGTACATGTCCAAGAAAATGCTGTCTCAGAAGTTGGCCAAGTCCACCTATGAGAAGGAACTCTATGAGGTGTACAAGGCTCTGACCCATTGGAGGCACTATCTCCTTGGGAGGTTCTTCATCCTCAGGACTGATCATCAAACTCTGAGATGGATGAGAACTCAGCCGGTGCTCTCTGGCGCTCTGAAGCGTTGGATCGAAGTCATTGAGAAGTATGACTTTGACCCGCAGTACTTGAAAGGGGAGTACAACAAGGTTGCTGATGCCTTGTAGCATAGACCTGATTTCTCAGGTGCGCTGATCACTGAGTTCAATCTTACGGACGATGTTACTCGCTCTTTGGTGGAAGCCTATCGTGAGGACCAATTCATGTTTGAGATCGTACGCAGACTTGAGGCGAAGGATAAGAAGACTTCTGCCGAGTTTGAGATGGTCAACGGCTTGCTGTTCCTAGAGAAGGCAGGGAATAAACGATTGTGTGTCCCGAATAGAGAGTCTTTGCGTACTTTATTTTTAGGTGAGTGTCATGATGCCACCGGCCATTTTGGCTATAAAAAGACAGCAACCAATCTGCTGCAGCGGTTCTGGTGGCCCACGATGATGCGAGATGCCCAGCTGTATGTGGAGACTTGTCAGGTCTGTCAGAGGGACAAGCCACGTACTCAAGCTCCTCTTGGTCTCCTGAAGCTTCTTCCAATTCCAGAAAGGCCTGGTGAAAGTTTGTCCATGGACTTCATGGATAAGCTGGTAACCAGCAAGAGCGGGATGAGACATATCTTCGTCATCGTGGATAAATTTAGTAAGTATGCTAGGTTGATAGCCATAGAGACTACAAAGACCGAGCACGTAATCAGACTCTTCAAGGAAAACTGGGTTAGGGATTTTGGTCTGCCGAAGTCCATCGTGAGTGACAGGGATGTCCGATTCACCAGTGAGTTGTGGAAGGCCACTGCTGCTGAACAGGGAACACAGTTGCAGATGACCTTTGGGAATCACCCAGAGGCCAATGGCCAAGCCGAGCAACTGAACCGCGTTGTACAACACCTGCTGCGGCATTACATCAAGCCCAATCAGGTGGACTGGGATGAGACTTTTGCTCTCATCGCCAGCCTGTACAATAACGCTGTACACAGCGCCACCGGGGTGAGCCCAAACAGCTTACTACTGACCTTCAAGCCTAGACTGCCCTTGGATTTTCTCCTTCCTGAGAACCAGCCAACTGCTGCACCGGGTACCTTAGAGTTCGCTTATCGTTACGAACAGAAGATGCAACATGCAGTAGAACAGATGCAAAAGGCACAGGCGGCAATGATAGAATCTGAAAACAGACACCGCCGCCCATCTACATTCCAGGTTGGGGACAAAGTCTGGGTTAAGTCCTCAGAGTTGGGATAGGAGCACTGGATCTCCCGCAAGCTCATGCCTCAATACTTTGGACCATGGGAGGTCTTAGACATTGTCGGGACTGATCCGGATGGGCCGTCTTATGTAATCCGGATCCCTGGTCATCTCCGCACATATCCTGTCTTTCACGCCTCTAAGCTTGCACCCTTCAAGGAAACAGACCAGTTCACCTCACGTCGCTCAATGCTGCCCCCAACCATGGACGGAGAGGTGGACATCGATGACATCGTGGATCAAAGGGAGCTGCCAGTGCCAAGACCGACCGGCAGGGGACGTCCTCCAAAACCGAAGCTGCAGTACCGCGTTCCGTTCCGGCATCATATTGATCCAAAGGAAGATCGATGGTTCACCAGAGAGGAACTCATGCAAACCGCTCCTCAGGTTGTAGCCCAATATGAGAAGTCTCTACAGAAGGGAAAGCGCCCGATGATTGAAGACTGAGATTCTCAGAGGACTGTTGAAGCTATGGAGGAGGGAATGCGAGGCCACAGCCTCGATGAGCTCCTTTCAGGCCCTGTCAAGCAGTACGTTGGGCGCCCTAAGTGAAGGCAGGCTCGACGAGGACCCCCGGACCCCTATTTCGGTCACCACGCAACTAAGGAAATTCAGGCAGTTGCGCAGCGGCAGTTGGTTGAAAGAACCCAGGCCCTGGGCAGCCTGTTTGCATGTATCAAAGGCAGGCCCTGGGCCGCCTGTTTGCATGTATCAAAGGCAGGCCCTGGGCCGCCTGTTTGCATGTATCGAAGGCAGGCCCTGGGCTGGATACGGGACGTAGGCCAAACACAGGCCAAAGGCAGTTGGGCACAAGCAACCACCTCAGGCCCTGGGCCTGATTTGTTTCGGACTGGGCCTCAGCCTACCGGGGCCTACCGGAAGCTTCTTGGGAAAGGCCCAACGCAGCCTGGGACAGAACGCAGGCAGGCCGCTTCCATATAGCAAAGGACCTGCCTCCGCATTGGACATACGGGTGCTGGCTGCATGCTGCGTTGAAGCTGGCCAGCACTCACACGCTCACGGGCGAGCTGGAAGGAGCAGGCAGCCATAGCCGAGCTGCGCTGCTGTGAGCTGGGTGTGGCGCAGGGTGGTCCTTGGGTGCATGCAGCATCTGTGTGTTGGGGAACGAGGTTGTGAGTGATGACATACCTGGTGCTGGAAGTGTGCGGCATTGGCCGCTATCTGCTCATACTTCGGGAGAGCTGTTGTCCTCATCTTTGGCATTGTAGTCTAGGCTAGATAGGATCTGCCATCTGTAGTCTGGGCGCCGAGCGCCAGATAGGATATYAACATTGGTTCTTCGTTGATGATGATGATGAGACTATTCCAGCATTGTCAATTATGAGCTTTTGGTGTGCTCTTATTTGGTGAAACTCGTGATGCAATTCTGCTATTGGTTCGAGGTCACGACTATCTGGTCTTATGTGCATGATGCTGTTTGATTGCTGAAGTTCGCTATCGCTCATCTTCCTTGCACAGGAAAAAAAAAAAAAGGAAAAAAAAAAAGGAGGGGCGAGTTTAATGATGATAAGTTGATAACTTCATACTGTCACCGTTTTTGTTTCAACTCTCTCCGAACCTCCCCCTCCTCCTCTATCCTTGCGATCCCGAGCCATCCCCTCTCCCCGATCCCAATTCTTCGCCCCCCTTCAATCCCGACTCCTTCCGAACCCCCCCCCCTCCTCTCCCGCCCTTGCGATCCCGACGCCACCCCCCTCTCCCCGATCCCGATGGCAACCCCTCTCCCCGAC